AGTGTAGTGTAGTGTAGTGTAATGTAGTGTAGTGGAGTGTAGTGTAGTGTAGTGGAGTGGTAGTGTAGTTAATGTAAAGTGTAGTGTAGTGAAGTCGAAGCGACACTGAACCTCAAAAGTGGTCCGAATCCCTGGTGTTTTTAACATTTTGACTTCGAAATGTGCCTCGCGCCACAACGGCATGCACTTTTTCGACATCTGAACCTCCAAAAGTGGTCCGAACCCCTAGTGTTTTTAACATGTTGACTTCCAAATGTGCTTCGCGCCACAACGGCGTGCACTTTTTCGACATCTCAACTTCCAAAAGTGGTCCGGCAATGGTGTGCTTTGTACATTTTGACTTGGAAATGTGCTTCGCGCCACAACGGCGTGCACTTTTTCGACATCTCAACTGCCAAAAGTGGTCCGGCAATGGTGTGCTTTGTACATTTTGACTTGGAAATGTGCTTCGCGCCACAACGGCGTGCACTTTTTCAACATCTCAACTGCCAAAAGTGGTCCGGCAATGGTGTGCTTTGTACATTTTGACTTGGAAATGTGCTTCGCGCCACAACGGCGTGCACTTTTTCAACATCTCAACTGCCAAAAGTGGTCCGAACGTGGTGTGTTTTGTACATTTTGACTTGGAAATGTGCTTCGCGCCACAACGGCGTGCAATTTTTCATCTCTCGTCTGGCCAGCTGGTTCCGCACCCACCGCTTTAGCGAGCCTACTTTTCGACCCTCCCGAGCCACCAATCATTGGAAAACACAGTGTTTCGCGACTTTCCTACCTTTTCGCGCATCTGCATCTTCTTTCTTCTGACTCTTTCTCTTCTACTCTTCTTTCTTCTAATCTTTCTCTTCTCTCTGCCTCTTCCCTGCTCTGCTTTTCATCTGTCCATATTGTCGGAAGTTTGACTTCACCTATATTCCCTGGGTCACGTTCGTGTCGTACATCTCTTACTGATGCCATTTTGCTGTTTTTTCGTCTCCAAGCTTGTACATGAGAACAAAGAATCATCAGATCACTTGTGATGGAACATGCTATGGGTCACGTCCTCTAATGAAGCATGTAGTTAGCAGTTGTAGCAGACCAACTTCTCGCCTGTTCACAACAAAGGATGCATCAGCAAAAAAGTGGCTTGTAAGTCTTGTAAGGTACATGTGGTAATCACAGTTGGCCATTTCATGTCCGTAGGAGTCCTGTTGCTTCCCCGTCGCGACCGTCGGAGCTGTGTGTCTTTTCTGACCGCATCTCCTGCTCGCCATGTCGAATAAGCAGTTGCCTGCAACCGTCGAGCCAAAGAAATGGCGAGCCAGATCTTGGAGCGCCGAAGTGTGCGCGCGATACGCGCGCACCCTTGAGCCGACACAGAAATGCCTTGATAGAACCTGTCGGCCGCCAGAGGAAGCGAGAAGCCTTCTGCAGGACCTGGCAGAAAGTCCTGCCATGTGGCTCGCTCTTCGAAGGCATCTCGCTGTTGCTGATGCCGTTACCATCTTGAAAATCTTGCGCGACCACAGTGAGTGGCCGCAGGTGAAGCGCACGGAGGATGAATTGCTGCGCTGTGAGTATTTGAGGCTTTCTGATGAGCGTTGCTATTTCCAGACTGATTGGATTCACACTGAAATGCGACAGCGGCAAGCTGCCCGGGCGGATGGTGCCTGCGTGGCAGAGATGGCAGTGACCTCGCGTGTGGCTTTTCTGCCCGCGTTGTTGCCATCGGGAAGAACGGGACACGTGCAGTGAAAGAGGGACACATGCAGTGGAGCGGGCAGCGGCCGTGCAATTTCCGATCGCCTAGATTTGCTACGAGCCGTCCCAGTTAAGCAAAGCTAGATTTCGTGTTAATATTTCCTGACGGCGCGATGGTGCTTCAGCATGAGTGTTCGTCTGTGCTCGTGTCTGTCTTTTCTGACGTCACGATGTCACATTCTAGGCAGCAAAGCCTCGAAATACTTTTCCCCGAATCGGCAGGGAAAAAAGGGCTGCGCAGGGACCATTCGCGAGACACGGCGGCGGGAGGTGGTCGAATGATGGGGTGGAGAGAAAGATAAACCGATCAATAGGTAGATAAAACGAGCGATGGGCAGGTAGATAGATAAATAGATAGATACGTAGTTACATACAGAGATGACATGAATAAGAGAGATGCAATAGATAGAGACATAAATGAACAGATCGACAGGTAGACAGCTAGACAGATAGAAAAGTGAAAGAGAGAGAGAGAGAGCGAGAGAGAGATAGATAGATAGATCGCCAGAAAGAAAGAAAGATAGATAGATAGGTAGATGGACAGATAGACAGATAGATAGGTAGATAGATAGATCGATAGATAGGTAGATGCATAGAAGATAGGCAGGTAGGTAAAAAGAGAGAAAGAGAGGAGACATCAATCACCTTTCGATCCATCAGTGGCATCGCTCTGCCATCCGTGATTCACAACAACCAACCTTTCCTATAAGTTTCCTATTTTTGAAACTTCCGCCACCGCCTTGTGCGGTACTACTGGTATATGGTCTTGATACTAACAACAGAATAAATTGCTCATCTACGCTCTCGGGCCATCCGTCGTCTAGTTCTGTCTTCTAATCTAAACTATTCACACCGGTAGATTCCTCTAGCCTCACCTGGGTTGGAAGCGAAGCAGGCCAGATTGTAAAAGTGCACGGTGCAAGAACATGGAACCACCCGTCTTCACTCGGATCAAAACCGCGCATGCACGGCCCTGCAAGAAAAATGCACAGCAAAACCGCGGCACCCAAAGCTGTTTTGTTTCTGCAATGTGATGCGCGTATGAGTCTAGCACGGGGTTCTTCCCGCATTGCCTGGACAAGAGCACCGCAAAAATTAACACCTCAAAATCCTCTTGTTTTCAATCATATTTGGCACACCCAGCAAAAGAATGTGAATGTCCTCCCTTTAGAGCCTCTTCCAATTTGGATCGCTGAGCGCCAGAAAGGATCCGTTGCATCAAACACGCATGTTGGCGATCTGAATTTGAATGCGCTAGCTTCGCCGGAATAGCGTTGTCAAATGCTCGGTCTCCGCCAGGGGGCCTCCATCTCGAACTGTGAGCAGCTCCGTCGCACCTCGGCTCCAACCAAAAATAATCAAACCCCCGCCTTGTTGCTTCTCAGAAAACACTTTCCACAAACAGCTGTGGCCAAGAATGGAAAAATCTAAGCCGTTGACCCTGTTCTTCAAAGCCACGATCAAGGAGCTGCCCATGCTTTGCCCGCGCATAGCACAAAGCACCAAGCAAACAGCAGGTGAAGCCCATACCGCTGGTGACTTCAACCTGAACCAAACAAAATGGAGTCCACAACGCGCAATATCCCAATAATTGGCAAAATTTACCTAGCCGCTGCCATACCTACAATTTGCACCCCGGCTCAAGGCTGGAAAACCTTTCAGCACAAGCCCTTTTATTCAATCACACAGAAGTGGCCAAAACACATATCCACATCTAAAGCTAACGCAGTCCTGCGGCTATCAGCTGCATCACTATCTTAATTGAATTGGGGTTTAAACAACCACAACCACAAAACCCAAGAAAAAGATTAACAGGGGTTTGAAAGGGCAGCGCACTTTTCATGTGCGTCTTGAGCCAAACATTGTTGGCATGTTCATGAGGTCATGACCGGAAAGGAAGGATGCTATACATATATGAAAGTACAGTGGGTTTACCTGTGAACTGTCAAGTCCCCCCTCTTACTGAACTGTACACGGTCATGACTGGAAGGCGTCCTACCGGAGAGTGATCAAGTCTACGGACGGATGCGATCCATCTGCCTCATAGCTCAGACGGATTCCAGGCGAGAGATGAGAGAATCATTAGGAGATCCCATCATGCCTGGCGATTACATGCACTACTGTGCGAAGCAATGAATTACCGATGCTTGAAGTCCAATCGGATGCATATGAGAGGCGCCTTAGGCAGCCAAACTCGCAGGCAAAGGAGTGGCGCTAGGAAGCAGCCAGACTCTAATCCGGCGGAATGAAAGACAGTGAAAGTCCAAAGACAGCAATCCGTAGAAGCGACAAAGCAACTCCATGGAAAACTCTATGCTTAGCAAATGAAAAGTCAGGCTGTACTTAGGCAGTTGACAAGGTAGTCCAATGGAAGTGGTTACACAAAATCCAATGAACGGCTGTGCGCTTTTGATGCGACTTGCAACGTACTGGAATTTAATTACAGTAGTTGGAGTAGAGATTGGGTCCCAAATGATTGCAGTAAATGAGGTTGGTGCACCAGAGTGAAGTCACGAGCAAACCAGAAAGCTGTGACAAAAGACCGCAAACAAACAAAATCTATGTGACTGGAACAGACTTGATGCTAAGCAGGTCCAAAACATGTGGCCAGACCGACACTGGTAAAGCCTTGTTCATGACATCTGCCTTTTGATGGCTTGTACTGATGTACTCGATGAGGATGTCCTCCACCGAGAAGGCTTCGCAAGTGCTCGCTACGTTGATGCGGTGGAATTTGGCCAGATGTTTGAGTTTCGGGCTGTAGCCCTTGGCGATTATCGCCAGCACTGCTTGGTTGTCCTCATAGGCCTTAAGCACTAGAGTGGACGCAATTAATTTTTGACAAACCGACAAAAGAGAAATGGCATCCCCAAACAGCGCAGTGCTCAGAGCGACAAACTCAGCCTCCGTCGTCGATCTTGACACCGCCCTTTGAGTTTTTGATCCCCAAAGGATGACAGCGAATGAATTTGGCCCTTGAAGAGCAATGATAAAACCACCTGTCGACTTCATGTCGGGAGATGAACCGAAATCACTATCAACATAAAGCGACAACCACAGCTCAGCTGGAGGGTCATTGATACGCATGACATGGGCGTGATCAATGGTGGCAGCAACGTAACCAACAAGACGTGCAGCTCTCTTGTCATCGTTGGCACTCCATTTTGTAATGTGTCGGGCTAATGTGTTAATGGCGGCAAGAATGTCTGGGCGACTTATTCTTCCTAACCACATCAGTTTCATGACCAAACGAGCGGATGAAGCTGAAAGCTGTCCTACACATCCATCATCAGATTCAACAAGGGTTCCACTATCGCAGTGAGGAGTGCGAAAGGGTTTGGCTTTCTTGCCTGAGAGCTGTTCATAAAGCTCAACACACTGCTTGGCAAAATCTGCCGAATGCAATGCAAGACCCCCCTGATCCTGAGGAACATGATTCCTACCAAGTACTTTTGACAGTTCGGCAGGGTCCTCAAGCTGGACGTGTTTCCGCAACGTTGACCAAAACTGTGAATGGTTTTTCTTTGGCCCGCTCAATGTTAAGTCATCAACATAAACACTGAGAGCAAGGTTCAAAGCAGGAAAATGGAAGCAACTTGGCTGTTCTTCCAATTCATAGCCACCAAGATGAGTTGATAAAATGTTCGAAAGGTGATTCTGCCATGCTGCTGACGCCAAAGGATGACCATACAGCGATCGGATGAGTGGTGCCACAGGCTGATACATGTGGCGAGCATAGTCAGGCACGAGCTCTGCTGGAAGCAAAACATACGTGGGGCATGATGAGTCAAGAAAGCTCTGAACATAGGCTTTGATGCAGTCTGAGGTTGAACATGTATGTCCATCCAAAAGTCCAAAAGCAATCACGAGGTTAAGCCCTCCAAGACTTGTCGGTGCAGATGCAGCCAGTTCATCAAACACGGCTGCTTGGTTTTCTTCATCCCGCACTGCGTCTCCTCTGAAGACAATGCGAGCCTTGATTGACCATTCTGCAGGCGACTTCTCATACCCTTTTATGCTAACTATAACCATCAAGGCTCCAACATGGATCTTCTGACCCTTGGCACGAGCTTCGGCAAGAACTTCAGCTTTTGGTCTGATTTTTGACTCATCCCATGTGCCGTTGGCGAGAAGTCCCTGCTTCTCTGAATTGATGGCTTCTAGGACCTCAGGTCGACCCCTCCATTCACTGCGATCAAGAAGACGATGAACATAGGCAGGTGTAACAAGCTCTTTACAACCCACATTTGACATTGCAATATCAAGAGGAACTGAAGGATACCCCGCAACAAGCTTCTGTCTGTGAGGCTGTTGAACCCTTGTAACACATGGCATGGACGACACGTGCTGATTGATGATGTGAGGAAATAGTGATTGAATCAAAATGTTGCAAAGTGGCTCTGGGTAGAAAGCTGAAAGTCTAGTCCATTTCCCTTGCAGTGGAGCATGAGTGCTGTGAGTGCACTTGAGGCTAGCTAGGTTCTTGGCTAAACGCATCGAAGATGTCAAAAATCTCCATGGCTTCTTAGCAGGCTGACCATCGGCTTGAACTCCAACAGTGCATCCGTTGAACGTGGCAGAATGCAAGTTCCTGTCCAAAATCCATGATTGAATTGATGGTAGTGCCCAGCCTGTGCAGTAGCGTGGCCATTCGAAGCTGCAGTCCCCTCCATTGTCAAGGCAGACGTTGGCTACACGAATAAATTGTTCTACCAAAGCAGCACTTTCAGCTTGCTCTTGATCGATTCTTCTGGGAAGTCTCGGGTATTTTGCACGATTAAAGTGTTGCCATTGGCTCCGCGGCTTGCATTCGATGGATCCATGGATGGAGCATCCTTTTAAAGCATCTACCTGGGCGATAAGTTGCTCTATGCTGTTAGGATCTTCTAAATTGATGTCCTCTTTACACAGCCGGATGACTCTCAAACCATTCTCATGTCCAACTTTGCCAAGGTTGGAATCCTTGGCGCAAGCAAACTCGAACAAAACATCCTTACCAGGACAACTATGTTTTCCCTTTCCATGTTTCGGAGGTTTCTTCTCAGGATTGGCAGTGGCACCAAGGCAATCAGTCTGTCCCCCCTGATTGAAAACATCCTGAAAAATCTCCTGAACATGTTCCTGTGGCATGATGGTCGCCGCATCGCAAGCAATACCAGCTACAGCACTCAAACCTGAGACGGGAGATTTATCATTAGCCTCATCATCAGTGTCAAACCCATGGAGAGCTTGATGTGGAGAAGTGTTAATTCAAGATTCTGCTTCGTACAAGTCATCATGATCTGATGGTGGTGGGCACTCAGGGACCTCATCATCGTTAAGAGGATCATGTGATGCAATCGAAGCTTCATACTCAAAATCAAGACCTGGCAGGAGTTTTTCATCAAGCAACCTCTCCAACTCATCACTTGGTGCATTGGGTTCAGGACCAGGAGTCTTAGAACCAAAGGCTTCTTCATGCCGAGCAACGCATTCTGGAGTGTGGTTTGGAGTAAAGGCTAGGCAAGCACGACAACCGGGTGTTGCCCCAAGCTTTTGAATCCTACCAAAAGTGATATACACACGTCTTGACTTCTCTTTCATTTCAGGTGAATCTTCAACAAACGGAATTGGAAGTGGGGATTGGGGATCTAGATCAACTATTGAAGGATCAGAAAAGCGGTCAAGAGCCCTTTCAGCAACTTCGGCAAGTGGAAAAACCACATTGTCACGGGTGTAGACCTCACGATCCGGAGCTGGCACGATGACAATCTTGCCTTCACGCAAAGCTTCATAGTCAAGGACAATCAACACACCTTTGTACCGCAACCCAAACTCAAGCTTCCAACCAGCCATCAAGGCAGGCTGAGCATTTGGTTCCAATTTCGGCTTGTTCTGGGATTTAGTTCGATAAAACACCAACTGACCTAAGGCATAGTTGGCACCATGAAAGCTGGATCCGAATGCAGTGTCCCACTTGTCAATGCTCATGGCAACAGCAGCGTATCGACATGTAGTCGACCACAACCTGGGCATGATGGCGAAACCTGCCTGGAGATGTAAACAACGGCAACACTCTTCAAAGGATCTGATGGCTCTCTCACACTTTGAATTGTGAGGCCAACGCCTCGGCAGTGATGTCTCTGGCAACCATCCCAAGTCACGAATGGCTTTCACCAATTCTGGTGCAGCATCGGATCTACAAACTGTGTCGGGGTTTTGATATCGCAGGCCAACAA